GTGTTCCTTGCAGAGAACCTGTTTCTCCTCCCCACGCTCTGGCGCTTTGCCCGGTGTTTTGCTGCTCAGTCTACTTAGAGCCCAGCACTTGCTGAGGGTCTCTCTCCTCGAGTCCGCCCAGGCCCCGTGTTCAGCTCTCTGTGCTTGTGCGTGACCGTAGCGCTCTCCGTTGCTTTGTGAAAACTCTCAAAGCTTTGAAGCTTTCACATCTTTCTCAGCCCGAGCACTGATTCCTTGTGCCCTTCCAGTGTTCAGGAGGTCCCGGTGAGACCTACAGCTCCAGGCCAAGGATTCAGCCAGTTCTGAGCTGAATTTTCTGTTCTCTGGCAAATTTACTTATCTGAAATGAACGTGCCTTTCTAGCCCATCTCTCCCGGGTCACGTTGCGGACCAGGCAGTGCTGGCACCAGGAGGGACAACTGGAGCCCAAAGAGCTACTGGCCGGGTTGGCTGCAGCCAGTTCCTCGCCGTTGTGTTAGAGCAGAGGCGAGTGGAGCTTCCAGGCTCCTAGAAACCCTCGTGTGTGTTTGGGGACGCTGCAGCGGGCACTGCTGCTCCCCTCCGGCACAGAGGGAGAGGGGTGAGAGCTGTGGCTGCATCGGAGACTTGGTGCTTAGCCCTTAAAACGGAGATGTCCCCTTTTGTGGTGCGGCAGCCCTTCATGAATGCAAACGATTAAATAGCAGGTATATCTGAAAGAAATGTAGAAATCTTTCCCGATCTTAAATTATACTGCTCTGCATTACTCTGCATGTGTTGGCTCATGTTTTTTTTCACTAATCCTTCAGAGGTTCGTAAACCAGTCGGTGACGTCCGTCTTTTCTGGCTGTAAATTCACCCGGTTTTGTCCTGCCTGTCTGGGGTGGTGTCTGTCACTGTAGCTATTCTGATCGATTCCCAGCGAGTGAAGGAGGACAGTCCTGCTCTTCCATGCTGTGCCTGGTGATCCTCACCCATTCCCATGTCCTGACCCGGATCTTTTGCAACGGAAGTGAGAGAGCTAAGGAAGCCAAACCAGCAGAAAACTTGCTTGATTCATCTCCTGTTTCATTATTGAGCTGAAATAATTAACTATAGGTTCAGATCATTGACTCTGAGAATAAGTGAGGTTGAAAGGGACCTCGGGAGGTCATTGTAGCTCAAGTCACCTCCTTGAGCAAGGGCGGATTTGGAACTGTGTGAAGTTACTCAGAGAGTGAGAGCCTGGGGCAGGGCTTTTCCCAGGGACAGCAATCCGCTGTGTTTGGAAGTGAGGTGGCCCAAAACTGGGCTCCTCTTTGTGGCGCCCTGTAGGGAGGGAAGGGGATGCGCCCTGGCAGCTGCTCCGTGTCGCGGTAGCTCAGGAAAACAGGCTCTGTAAACACCTGGAAAAGCCCCGGGACATGGAAGCTCTGAGTGGTTAGGTGCCTCTTGACCAGGTGGGGTGATCCCTATAACATCAGGCACGGACTCCTTGAAGGAAATTAACAGGTATCCAAAGAGAACTTGGGGATTCTTTAGCGAAGCATCCAGTCGTGCTTTTCCATCCTTCCATCCCCACATAACTGTGGTTTTTGTGTGCCTGCAGTTACAGGGCAGATCCTCTCCGTTTGGAAGTGGCTGACATCTCCTCCTTGTGAGATGGATTGCAGGCAGCTTAGGGCAGCTGGTAGCAACGAGAGCAACGCGTTAGCACAGCCTCGTGTCTTCCCATTCCAGTCCAACAGAACAGAAGGGCAGACGAGGCTCTGAGTTCTGCCAGGTCGCGGGAGTTCATTAAATCACTGCAGGTCACCAGATTGAGGGTGTGCGTTATGTAAGCCCCTCTGAGGCAGTCCAAGAGACAGTATTGGGGTATATTCAGCAATGCTCTTAAGTACTATATTCAGCAACACCGTTGGGTACAAAACAGCCATCTGTGCCAATATGCAGCAAATCATGCCCTGCTTCCAGTGCTCAAACAGCCTGTCCCTTCCTAGGGGCTTTGGGTAGGGTTTGACAGTAGAGCCTGGCTGCTTTGTGCAACCATCTCCAAACAGGCCCAGGGAATTCCAGGGGAAACTGCTCTGAAATTCCTGCATGAAGTGAGTTTTCTCCGTGCGTTGTCGTCTTGAACATGGTGCGTGCTTTCGTTTTGCTACGAGTAAAGCAGCGATTTCTTGCTCTTGGCAACTTTACCCCCAGTATCTTTACTGTTGAAATGGGAAATAGATTTTTCTAGCATTTATTCTTGCTAAAGAAGAAATAATTCTTATTCCAAAAAGGAAGGAAGGCTTGAAAATGTTGAGTTCACCCCGACATCGCGGGTGCCTGGAGCGGCTTCCCCAAGACTGGCAGCCAAGGGGCGCCCGGCACCGCTGCCCGCTGATCCCAGCTTGGCCCTTCCTTTAGTTTTGGCCAGTAACACTCACATTTTCTGGGTGCTTCCCGGCTTGTCTCCAGACTCCTCCATTTCCCTTCAGAGCTGGAGAAACCCCCTTGTGCTGCCCCTTGCTTTAGACTCTCGGGCAGAGCTGCAGATGCGGTGCCACCAGCTTCGTTTTACACCACCCTTTGATGTCTAGCAGTTTCTTTGAAGTGCTGACTCCTCTCCTTGTGCATGTCCTTGTTCTGGCAGCTCCTGGGATTTGGGCAAATCCTCTCTTGCACATATTTCCCTGCTGAGATCACCCGTGCACAGGGAACGGTTGCAGGGCAGGGTGGTTCAGCCAGCGGTGACCGTCCCCTCGCCGTTATTCCTCTCTCCAGCACAGCTCTGTGTCACAGATCTGGTGTTCCATTGTCCCCTGTAGCAGGTGACACCATGTCCAGGGAAATATTCACTTGTAAGAAGCACTAAACTCAAATCACTTTGGTGCCTTTTTTTCTTTTTTTTATTTTTCAGGCAAAGCTAATGTTCTAATAATACAGACCCAAACATATACTAACAAAACCTTATGACTCTACTTCCATAGCCATTCTCTGGCATGAAAAGACTTTATTTTACAAGTTGGGTAACACTGGTGAATGAGCACATAGTTACCTCTTGCACCCTTACAGGGCCCTAGCTGCAAAACCCAGAAAATTCAGCGTTCCGGGTGCGTGGGTTTGGCCTTGCCGATATAACAGCCCAGCGAGTGGTGCAGGGTGCCCCGTGCGGGTGTCGTGCACCTCGCGGCAAGGCGAGTGCCGAGCGGGTACAACCGCCCGCGAGACAGCCGGAACGTTGTGCGCGACGGTGTCTGTGCGCGTCACGGGGTACCCGGGCGCTCGCCGGGGACAGGGCTGTGACAGCAGCTGTCACCGTCCCACAGCAGTGAGCTGAAGCGCACACGAGACCTGCTAAGAACAGCTGAAAATGCGTTTGGGCAGAGGGAGGGCTGGAGCCGGGAGCTTTCCTGCTGTGGCCCCTGCCCTGCGTGTCCCAGACCTGCCCCTGCCTGGAGGCCTTGGCTGGGCCTTGGCCCTCATGGGCCTCCCTGGACATCCCTCCAGCAGTGCAGCTGCCCCCGGCTCCGTAGTTTTGAGGGCTTTGGTCCTGCAGTGCAATGTTGAGATCTGGGCTGTTTGCTCCCTCGGACCTGAGGGGCAGGTTCCTGTCCAGTGCCAGGGGAGGGAGACGCCAGAGTCGAGGCCGGTGAACGAAGCAGGGTCACATCAGAACAACGTGGGGTCCCACCCTCCCCAGTGCCTTGTTCCTGTAAGGCCAGGTTAAGATGCTGCTGATTAAATTCACATTTAAAGCGATTTCCACGTAGTAGCCGTGCCGTTTAGCTAGTCTGTGCTTTGATCAGCAGTGAGGGAGTTAACGGTGCCGGTCAGCGAGCTGCCCCATGTGTGGGCTCTCTCCTCACAGCCCGCTGATCCTCTCCAGGCCTCTGCAGCCTGGGGCTCAGCTGGGCTGGCTGCTTCGAGCGACGGGCAGGGAGCGCCTCGTCTGTGCCAAGGGAATGAGTCCTTGCCCCGAGTGACTGCTCATGATGTTCTCTCTAGAAAAACCTGAAAACATTGCGCATTTACCCACAGTTCTGCCACCATCAGTGTGGTGCATCCTCTCCTGGTTTCATTCTTTCATTTGTTCTGTTTCTTTTGCCAATATTTTCTTCTTAACTATAGTATGCTTCACTTCAAACTTAACTGTAGTGTAACAAACGATAACTATTAACTGTAGTATAACAAACTTACCTATAGTGTGCTTCATCTTTTTTTCTAATTCCGAAGCCCATTTTCAGACACACACTGAGATCTCAAGACGTGGTAAACGACACCCTAAAGGTCACTGTGCGTTTTTCAGAGTCTAGGAGATTCTGGTTTTGATTTTGCCTTTGGTTTGCTTTGCTTTTTTATTTTAACAACACTTTAAATAACATTGACCTGGTGAGCGGGCCCAGCTCCTCTCCAGCCTGAGGCAGAACCTGGCAAAAGGCAAATAGCCAAATTTAGCGGGATTTGGAGTAAATACTCCAGAGGGCTGTGTTTGCCGTGGAAGGCTTGAGGAGACAAGAAGCAGGGAGCAGGTCCCAGCTGCTGGCAGATGGTGTCACCTCCCTCTGGCAGCACCTGGGAGGAGCAGGGCAGCGGGTGCTGCCCCGCACCACAGCAGTGGCGGGAGCCGACACGGGGACCCCGTTGCAGTTTGCTGTGATTTAGGGATGAAGCAGGTTTGGCTTCTGCCTTCAGAGGGGATCTGCAACGCACCACGGCTCTGTGACTGCCAGGCAGGTCTTGACTGATCCTCCTCCTAGGAATACTTTCTGTGTGATTTACATGATCTCCGGCAGGTCGCCACTCGCATAAGTACCAGATGTGGGTGCCAGTTATTTTCAGGAAGAGGATGTGGCTGGAAGTGAGATCCTGCTGGAGCTCAGTCCATCCAGGCTCAGGCGCAGTATCCTATGGTTCAAGTGCTCAACCAGGAATCAGTTTTTTATTCTGGCGTGGAGAGCAACAGCCTGTGTATTCAAGGGGCTGTGAATACTGCAGGGTTTTCCATTACACTGTTTAAAGATGGAGGCTGCTCTTGTTTTGATTCTCGGCTGATTTAATTATATTTGCTTTTTCTCTTTTTATTTCAGTTGTGATTCCAAAGAGCCCTTTACCTGCCTCCGAAGTAAACTCGGAGAAACCTAGCATGCACAGTAGCACAAAGACTGTTTTGGGGCATCAACAAGGGCAAAGGCGTCGCAAAACAGGGAAGAAGCGTGGTCGAACGACCAAAGCACTAATCCACCACCCCATGCCTACGCCCTCCAAGTCAGTGGAGCCTTTGAAATTCCCCAGAAAGAGAGGCCCAAAGCCTGGCAGTAAGGTAAAAGCTGATGCTGATACAGGCGGGTGAAAAGCAAGTGCTGCAAATTCTGCCATGGGATGGTGCATGCGTGTGTTTGTGCACGTTTGTCTCAGCCTTTGGCTATCTGACTGCAGCAGCTGGAAGCCCTAAGGGGTATATGGGGCTGGGAATATCCCTTAGACTCCAGCCTCAGAGCCTTAGAGAAAGTCTGTGTCTAAAACATCATTTCCATCAACAAGCTTGTCTTTGGAGCTGCATTAGCTGTGGAGCAGCATGGCAGATGCTGTGGTCATGACAGGATGGCCAAACAGTGGCATAACCTTCTGTGTCCATCGTATGTACCTAAGCTAAGTCGAGCAGAGGTGCAGGTCTCAGCTGTGCTATTTTTTCAGGATCCTGGTTTATAAAATACACACATACTGACCGTGTAGGTTCCCAAGACGCCCCGTCATCACCATGAGAAATGTGTCATGTTCCACAGCGCTTTGTTTGTTGGATGCGGAGAAAGAGAGTGTAGTGGTCGTGGGTGGTAAAAGAGAACAGGGGTAAAAGGAGAAATTTCCTCATCTTTTTCTGCAGAGGAAACCTAGGACATTGCTGAATCCAGCACCCACATCTCCAACAACCAGTACCCCAGAACCAGACACAAGCACTGTGCCCCAAGACGCTGCTACAATCCCCAGCTCTGCCATGCAGGCTCCCACAGGTAAGGGTCTTGAATCACGTTCTGGAAAAGATGATGGTTAGAAGCTACGTCACTGAGAGTGACACATCAATATACTCCCTTTTCTTCATAAACCAGCAAGCAGAACCACTCCAGAAGCAAGAGTGTGCCTTAATCTGGAATGTGGCTAGAGGAAGAGACAAACATCTCCTGGTCTCTTATCTCTTTTTCTGATCAGCAATATCGAGTCATAGGAAGGCAGCAGATTCATTTGGTCAGCACAGAAAGCCCTTTTCCGAGTTATCACCCACACGTTAGTGACTCGAAAGCTCTGGAAGGGGAGTTCTTGTGACCTATCATGTCTAGAGGTGGTGCTGTGTGCAGCACCTCTCCCGTGAGATCAGAGATCTCAGATCCTTCCAGAAACAGTTGCTGATGCTACAGCAGGATTCAGAATAACTCCCGAATGGCAAATGGTCTGCTCAACTTTAGTCAGGATATGAAGGCAACCAGAATAACTGGGCAAGAGGGAAGAGGAAAGATGTAGGAGCCGCCAGTGCAGAGTACAGGCTGTGCTACAGCTTGAGATATAGCTGAAAATGAGCCTGGGAAGGAAAGTCTAATGTGAACATGCATTTTATATGTTCTGCCAAGCAGTGTGGACCAAGCTCTCTGTTTGCCCTAAATATAATTGGCCAGTTTTCAAAGGAACCTAAAGAACCCAGTTCCCCCAAACTAGGGGAATCAGTGGAAAGTAGGGGCTCCCTGAGCACCTTTGAACGTCTCAGTTGTGCCTCCTGGCCTGGCTGGCAACCTGCCTTTGGGAGCTGGAGCAGTGGGAAAAGAGCAAGAAAATCAGTAGCAGCGTGGAGGTGAGGGTGAGCCGGGCAGTTTGGGGAGATACCCTCTTCTAAAAGGGGCTCTGCTGTGGGGCTGCAGACGGGCGCTGGTGAATGCCCTGTGTGATTGCTCTGACAATCTTAAGACCTGGGCGTCCCCCATGTTGGCTTGTAGGCATCCGTTTCTTGCTTTCTTGAGTGGGTTAATGGCAAACGTATCTCTCATCTTGGCAGTTTGCATTTACTTGAACAAGAACGGCAGCACTGGGCCCCATCTAGACAAGAAGAAAGTTCAGCAGCTGCCTGACCATTTCGGACCAGCTCGGGCTTCTGTTGTCCTGCAGCAGGCAGTGCAGGCCTGCATTGATTGTGCTTACCATCAGAAAACCGTCTTTTCCTTCCTAAAACAAGGCCACGGGGGAGAGGTCATCTCAGGTGAGAACTGGCCTGCAGTGCTTGGCCTCCAGAGGTGTCACAGCAAGACATTTCTCATTGCAAGCTGTGTCTGCTCAGGCTTCATGTAGTCATGGGCCACGGGCAGACAGGAGACTTGTGTCTTCGCTCTCCTGCCAAGCGTTTGTGTCAGTGACGCGGCAGCCAGCGGGTGACTCAAAGCGCTGCCAGCAGCGCGGCCTCCAGGCACAGCTGCCGGAGAAGGCAACACGCAGCCCTTATCCAGCCCGGGGGGCATCTTCCTTCCTCTACCATCCCCCCAGGATCACCTGAAGCCCCAGGAGGAACCGGAAAGGGTGGGATTTTCAGACCTTCTAACGGAAAGAACTGCCCTGAAGCTTCTCCTCCCCTTTCCTTGAGTTTTAATTGGACTTTTAAGCCCGTGTTTACCCAGATGTTGGCGAGCCGCCCGCGAGCGCGCGGGGAAGGCAGCGCCTTTTGTTGGCTCTGCTCTAGAGCAGCGATGCTGAGATACAGGAGCTGGCGGTGCAGCCCTGGGCGTAGTCTCCTGCCTTTGCTGGGGGTTTACGTGTCGGGCTCTGTTTGTTTCTGTCTCCAGCTGTGTTTGATCGGGAACAGCACACTCTGAACCTGCCAGCAGTAAACAGTATCACCTACGTCCTCCGCTTCCTGGAGAAGCTCTGCCACAATCTTCGCAGTGACAACCTCTTTGGGAACCAGCCTTTCACTCAGAACAGCCACATGCAGCGCTCACACGAGTACGACCACGACAGGTATCTACCAGGTAGGAGCTGGGGCGGGGGTGGCCTTGTAGGGACCACAGACGTTCCCGTGTCTTAACCCAGATTTTATCCTGTATGTCAGGGCACAGGAGTGTGCTTTTTCAGAGCCCTCTCCGCAGAGTTCATTGCACAACACCTCGCGTCATGCACGTGCCCGCAGGGACCTTTGTGCTCAGAATTCAAGTTGCTGTATTTTTTTGCCTGTCAGTCTGATTTCCGTCTGTGCCTCTAGGTTTCCGCTCATCCGTGCTGTCTCACTGTCTTTCCTTCTCTCCGTGTCCCCCAGTCCTTCCTCCCTCCTGTAATCTGATTAGAGTGACTTCATCCAGGCAGGAATTCAGGTGGAAATCTCTGCATAAGAAGCAGAGCAGCTTGCAGCAGGTAATTAGAACTTTAATTAACTCCTAGCAGAGCGATTTCCATCATGGCTGTGAGCGCGGTGCCAGCAGGCAGCACACGGAGCGCTCGATGAAAGCCAGGGAGCTCAGCCCCGTTAGGGCTGGAAGCTGCAGGTATCTGAGGCAGAGGTGCTTTGTTTTTCTTGGCATGGCTGGTGCTCCTCGGTGTGGAGGCAACACGCCCCCAGCAAGATAGCTCATGCCACGGCTGCAAACACTTCATCAGGGTGAAAAATCCCCAGTAACCAAAGGCACTGGAAACCAAGAAAGCAAATGGTTTCTCCTCAGAAGCAGCTATTGGCAGCAAGCCTTGGGGCAGTACCTGCCTACCTGGAGCCGGCTGTGTGGATATTGTTCCTGGAATTCCAGTCATGGAGGGGACAAATAGCTGCACCCTCTTTACGTAGTTGACTTTCTGTCCTGCCTTACTACTTCCACTGCCTCTGTGCCCGTAGAGTCAGCAAATAGCTCTGTTGTGCTGTTTGAGGTCTTTCCAGAGTTAATCCTCAGGCTCTGACCTGCAAAGCAAGAATTTCTAGTGTGAAAGAATAAACCCTTAGAAAGAACCATTTAAGGAAAAGTTGCCAAGTGTGAGGCTTGGGGCAACAGTCTAACGCTGCTTTGCCTCAGTGGCATCTTGCTGTGCTCTGCTACTCAGCTTCTCTACTCTCCTTTTCCCCCCCCGTTCATCCCCATGCTTCTCAGGAACCATCAGGAGAGATGTTGATGCCAACAGCATGTCAGGGCCAGGATGGAGTTGGAAGCATCCGTGTTCAGAGGAAGGGTTTAGCAGTGGTATGGAGAGCACGTGGATCTGACGGGCTGGGGCCTCCTCTGCTGACCCCTGCCTGCACGCTGGGCCAAAGCAGAGCCCTGCAGGAAGCAGCCTGGGGCAGAGCCCTGCTTTGGGCTGAGGAGAGGGGCTGAGGAGGCAGCTGGGGTGCTGTGACAAGCACCAGAGCGGCACGGCTAGGAAATGCTGAGGTTAGAGATCACCTCTAGGTAATCCCCAGCTAGAACGTGAGCGTTATAGTGAGAAGGAGCAGAACTGGAATGTGCAGACGAGGAGCTGAGGTTTGGGCATGGCAGCAGCGTTGGATGGAGAGGGGTCTGTAGCGCACACGCAGGGTCACCAACCACCCTGGGATGCTTCCCGTGCCCACGCCAAGGGCTGGCTCCATGGCAGCTTGGAGGACCAGAAAGACCAAGGCTGAGTTACAGGGAGACCTTCACAGGGCAAAGAAGACATGATGCCACAGTCTGAATTCCCTGTATGAGTGTTTGCAGGAGTTAAACACAGATTAACACAGTCCAGAGACGTGGTAACACCTAGTCCTGTAGCTCACAGTGATGCCTCGGACATTACAGAGGTTCCAGTCATTCTAATATCTTTCTCAAGCACCTGAAAGATGAGGATAAATATTGTTATCTGCACATTGCAGTGCATCCTCATCACATCTGATGAGGGCAAAGAAACAGTACCGGTAAATTTAAGGGATTAGAGCTAGTCATGGAAGAATGAGGCTGCAATTTTACCTCATCTTAAATCAAACCCAGTCAGAACGGGTTCACCTTCAACACCATGTTTCCTGCTTTGTCTCCTGCAGGGCACAGGTGCTCTTGTGCTTTAATATGGTTGATTCTTCCAGAAAGTAGTCATTTATTGATTAGAAATGGGTCTCAGTTCCCAGAACGAGCTCCCTTAACTATTACAGAAGCATCACTGTAGCTGCACTGGAGAAGGCATGGGTGTGTTTGGGAGAGGACAAGGTAGGTCTGCAGCAGCTCTTACCCCAGGTAGTGTTGCCATAGGCCTGCATCCTGATATTCCATCTTGATAAAGCATGCTCATGCAAATAAGGGAATATAAACCAAATTCTGCATCAGGAAAGAGCAGATTTGCAAGAAAATGAGAGGTGGTTGCTGTGAATAGGAAAGGAGCTGGGCTACGAAATGTTTTGAAAGGGTAGGTCCAATCTGGAGCCATCTGAGAACATAGGAATGGAAAGAACTTCTGAGTAACTGAGTTACAGGCACCACAGCATACAATATTACTTTAATAAACTCCAAGTTCTGTGTGGAAGCGGTTGAGTTTTGGGGGTTTTTGCTCCTCTGCTGCTTTTTTACAGCTATATCATAGCAGCAGCTGATGATCATCCTGTCTTGGCAGTGTAACTTTTCCTCTCATCTGTCATTTCCAGCTGCAGGGGCCCAGCTCACAGGACTGTGCTGCTACTGATTGCAAGTGCAAATCTGCATTTTGCACAACTGATTTCACC